TAGATACGAGATGGCCGGTTGGGACTGCGAGTTCCAATCCCCGTAGATCCAGGAGATTCGGAGGTTGGAAGATTCAGTTCCCAGCTGGAACTTTGTCTAATCAGTGTATATGCACAGGACTACTCTACTGTCCATTGCCCAATTCACGGCACCACTTGCTGACACGTGATGTCCAGCAGCTGAGTGCAGTGTAAGCGACTTTGAAATCCCTTGGTAGTCATGGAAAACAACTCGCACCCTGTTTGTCTGATGGAGCATATGATTGTTTGTATACTGAAGGAAGCTACATGCAACATCCTATCACTGCTAATTACATTAATTTTATCAAATTTTAAATAACAAAAGCAACTTTCAATTTCAACTTTACAACAACCTTCTTTTTAAGAAAAAAGTAAATTTGAAAAACAAGAGAAAATTTAAAAACAACGAAAAAGTCAAAAATTTAAAAAACGAAAAAATATATGATTGAAAAGATGAAAAAATTTGAGCCTGATCAAACCCGATTTTCAAAATACTGAAAACTTAATGTAATAAAAACTTGATTTGGCTTTGTTTTTGAACAATTTTTTTTTAAATTTTTCCCCCGAAAAATACATTTCTGACTTTGATATTTTCACCAAAAACAGGTATAGGATAAAAGAAATGGTAAACAGCAAATAAAATTGAACCATCTCGCATAGTTAGGGGTAGAAATTACATACAAATCGATAGAGAAGATCGATGCGGAAGGAGTTAAGGTAAAACAATTTCTGCATCTCACGCTAAAACTGTGCCGCGATAGATCATTAATCATCCTTCTAAGAATATCCATCTTACAAAAAGCACGGGTATCAATTAATCCGCCACCAACACTTCTTGACCATCAGTACTATTCCATGTTAGTAATGCTACTGGGATGCTTTCACATCTACGCCTGGTCCTTCGATTCTGGGCTACACAACCCTGGCATGCACTGCCTGGTCGATGTATGTATTATGCTTTTAAATTAATACTCGCGCATAACTAGAACTCAAATCCGGACACCTTGCAATAAAATGTAAATTTTTTGGCGAGAGAACGATCTTGGAAACCGGCAGCCATGGGAAGCTGAAATTTTGGGATCTTACCTTTTCGGGACCGCTTGAACGGTAAATTCAAAACTTTTAAACTTTTAAATCAAAC